TGAATTCAATTATATATATATATATATATATATATATATAGGGGGAGAGAGAGGATAAACTTTTAAATTATCAAAATAAAATGGAAGAGGAAGACACAACACCTAGCTCTATCACATGGTTTCTATTATAAAAATCACCATTAGACCATTCCACTCCCTCCACTGAATTAAAAGTCTAACACAAGATTGAAATTGTGTCATTAAAATCAGATGTGTTGTCATTGTGATTCTAGCATACTAGAAATTTAAACAGTAGAATTTTCTATATATTTTAATCCGTGATAGATCATTTTCATATTTTCATACCAATAATTTCAAGTTTATTTCATCTTTTCACTCAACTATTCTCAATTTCTACGTTATCTAAATTCATTAGTTTTGTCAAATGGGTCAATTTAATATTAAATATTCTTTAAAATTTAGATAAAATTATCAATCTACCAAAAATAAAATCTTGCAGATTTTCCAAATTCAAAAAATAGTCAAAACTCTACAATTTTTTTTTTCTAATAAACTCTACAAATTGTTAGTTTCCTATGTTACCATACCCTAATTAATTACTTATGTTTCTACCACCACTGAGTCAATGTTACAACCGAGTCAAAGTAAAGTATAATTTCTTGTGGTACAAGATATGCAACCTTAGTGATCTCTTGAGAACTTTAATTAGTTAGCCAAATTAATGTTATTGCAAGAGGATTTATGGGATATAATAGTGCAACAAACCAAATTATTTAAGTTAAAATTTTATGAGAATAGTTTATTTAACTTGAGTATTTAACATCTTTCTCGTAAGTTTTTAATTCAATTTTTCTAGGACTCTTACTAAGCTTTAGAGTTTCATGCTAGTCAAAATTCATTTAATCTTCTCTATGTAAATTCATCTAATCTTGCTTCAATCATATTATCATAACTAATTAGGTAAAAATTGCTTACATTTTGTTGTAAGGATTATAAAAATCTCTAAATCTTTGTTTAATTAATTTAATCACCTAAAGTTCTAATTAAACATTTTAATAACATATTTATACTTCAAAACATTTTATTTAAGAAAGCATATGTAGTTTCAAAATCAATTTGAGTAGGTTTAGTCTAAAAACTTGGGCAATTGTGGCTTAGTTTGAATTTAAGAAAATGTTATCTAACATGATCAATTCAATAATTTCATAACACACATATTTAAAGTAACACACCAATCAACTCATAATAACAATCTTATCAACAATATTATCATACGCATACAATATTTTTCGTATATAATGGTTACATTCTATTAACACTCTTAGTATTCTTGTGCCAATGCGGTCTCTTTTAACAAAAGAATGGTCAAGAGTTTAGGTTAGGAAATGAGTGTGAGGTCTATGATACTTTTGTGTTCATTAATCATGCACAATTAAATAAAAGTATTCATTATCTTACAATTTTTTTCAAATTTTCAAAATCGCATCCATCTTTCACATCTATGTGTATCTCTGTAACTATCCATACGTGTTATTATCACTTTTCATAATAAAAATAACTTTCTCTCTTTTCCTTTCTCATTATAATAAAATTTTACCCTTCTTATTGCTCATCATAAAATCATTTAATCATGTCGAATGTCAAACACCTCCAGACTTAGTCCAAATTGTATATTTTCAATACAACATATATTTTATATCAATCAAGAAAAATGAAAACATATTTCATCCACTTGATCAACTTAAATAATTTATCAATAATCTCATTCAAACATATATTTCTAAACAAAAGAGTATATAATCACACACATGAACCTAAAAATATTTTCAATAATTCATAAAGAAGCATACTATCACACTTTCATGAGCACAAAATATATATAACGTTTTAATGATAGAATAGAGCTCTTATTACCTTGATTAGAAGATTTGTGAAAAGGTTTATGGAAGATATTGTCCAAAAGATTAAGTTTTTCTTATATATTACAAAGTGGAGCACTTTTGATAAAGGAGAAAATGGAGAAATAGAAATGAGATTAAGAGATTATGCTTCAAGAAACTTACTTGAGAGTGAGTGGAACAAATGTCCAAGCTCATATTTGAGAGTAGTTTGGGGTTCAAGGGAGTTTTTCTGGGAAATGAAAGAGAGAAAATAGTAAGGAGAGGTTGCTTGACTTATAATCTAAATTTTAAAATATTGAAGTTACTTATATACCCTTTTTCTCGAAAATTTTTGCTTCTCGCTTGAGTGAAAATCTACCAGAGAACTCCAATTTCTGGTGTCTATTCTTGCTTGAGTGGAAAAAAAATTGCTTAAGGGAGAAAATTTTCGCTTGAGCAAAAGTACAGATGAACAATTCTTATCCATTCTTGCCAAAGCTAAAAAATTTCACTTAAACTAAAAGAAATCTTTTTTTTTAAGAAATTCTTCCATTTGAAAACAAATGTAATAAATAAAAATTAGGATGTTACAATTAATTAGATAATCTATTTCATAGGCAAAATAATGTATTTTATAGGAGCCATAAATAATCCCTTGGTAGTTTTTACTAGTTTCCATAGAAGATTACGTGCAAAATTTTCATTCCCTTTGAATGCAACCATGAGGTACCTTTTCGAAGGAAGTTTATATGTCTCAATACACTAGCTTTGTTCATCCAACTCTTTCCAATTATGTATGCAAACGTCATAAAGCACTTTATAGCCTCAAAGAAGTACTTCACACTTGGTTTCATGCTCTTAGGACATTTTGGTTCAACATGGACTCATAAATTCAAGAATTGACAACTCTTTCTTCATTTATAAATATGACTCCATAATGGCTTACTTTCTAATCTATGGTGATTTACTATTGACGAGTAATGACCTATCTCTCCTCACCACTTTCATCAAATGTTCTCTAGTTGATAGATTTTCTCTAAAAGATTTTAGAATATGTTCTCGAAATTTTTTAGTGAGCCAACATGGCTAACTCAAAACTCGTCTCTATGCCTATGTCCATTCACTGCACTAGACTCCTTCATCTTCAAAACCTCCTTATATCACATCCTAGCGGGCTATCTCCGTATTGCCTTTCCATTACGAGACCATATATCATCTTTCTTGTAAACAAGTTCTCTCAACATTTCTAACATCTCATGTCAACTTATAAGCAGGCTTTGAAATGAGTTCTTTGCTACTTGGAGTTTACCATTGAAATCTAAATTTAATTTTACTATTACTTAAATGCTAATCAGAGAGGTGACACCACTTATCACAAATTTATTGGTGCCTTCGTTATATATTTGGAGCTTAATACTATTTCTTTGTCTTGTAAAAAATAATCTATTATTGCACATATCTCAACAAAGATAGAGTACTACACTATTACCTTAATCACTGCAGCATTGTTATGTTGCAATAGCTCTTACAAGAACTTAAAGACACCATTTCTATTCTTATAGTTTACTCTAACAATATTGGTACAACTTGTCTTTGTACAAACCATTTCTTTCACACTCACCTGAAATACTTAGTCATTAACTATCATTTTTTCAGAAAACTTGTGTCTAAAAACAAGTTAAATGTTTCACATATTCTTTCAAGTCATCAACTTGCTCACACATCATAATTTGCTCAAATCCAAGATTGGTATATAGTCTTTATAAAAGTACTATTCTACCCACCTTTACCCTTTTTCTAAAAAAATATTCTAAGAAAATTGATTCATAATTCTTTGTTATTTGTTATATTTTGTTACAATATTCAAAATACTGTAATTGCATTTTATATTACTTCCTTTATCTTCAAGGTCCTTGTGTAAATATCATAACTTGTAACCTTAACTAATAAATTAGAAACTTAAATATCTTCTTGATACTTATATTTTAACAATTTTTTGTTTTAATCCTTTCAAATGAATTCTTTTTATTTTAATCTATATTTTTTTATAAATTTTTGTTTTTAGTCCCAATTACTAATCTAATCCATACAAAAGTATAGACCAAGACAAAATAAAAATTAAAAAAAAACTAAAATAAAAAATTTACTAAAATATAAAAACTAAAAATATATTTAATATTAAATAAAACCTTCTTCATTTTCTCTTATATTTCTTTCAGGAATAGGGAATAAGTTATTGTTTCTTTTGAGTTCTTTTTATACATTATTTGAGGGATGAATATAATAAAGAAAACTAATAAAATAAAAATATAGATTTTCGAGTTTTAATTAATTTGAAAGACATTAGCGTGTAAAGAAAATGAAAATATGAATTTATGTTTTAAAAGTTTCTTTGCAAACTATGTAACATTTTAAATTTATTAAATGTAAGTATGTGAGACATAAAAATATATTTACAGATATATTCTTAAAAGAATAATAGCTAATAATAATAATAATTATTTAAAATTTAATAAAAATGAATACTGGAAAATAATTAGTCATTTTGGCATGTTTAAAATAATTAGACATGGGTATAAAATTACTTAATAAACACGTTATTGCAAAAGATTTCTGTGATATACGTATGATATAAAGTGGGACATTTTATATGTATATTAGTGTGTTAATTTTAAATTTTATTTAAATAATCTCATTCATTTATCAATTTAATATAAACCTATTAACAAACATAGAAAAATGAATATTATAAGATAATTATTATTAATTAAAAGAGTTATAACTTACAAAACTGAAAAAAAGAAAAAAGAAAAATACAATCAAGGAGAGAATACAGTGATCTAAATTATATGCTGATATGTTATAAGAAATTTATATAATTTAACATAGGTTTTTTGTCTCACGTTTTTTCTTTTTTATATATCCATTAAAAAATATTATTATTTGATATGTCTTATCAATTGATTTCTATTTTACTTTACCTGAAACGAGAGTGCTGTATTTGACAATCCAATCAGAGAGTGGGTCTTTAGGCCCGTTTAATTCCAAAAGAGAAAAAACAATCCAATCAGACATCGCCTTAAATTATCTATCATAGAAAATCTTCAAAATTTAAAAGAAAAAAAGAAAAAAAGGGGTCACCTTGAAGTTTACGTAAAGACTAAAGACATTTTCCAAACGGCCAAACCCGAAAGGAATATGGTTTCAAAATTTCTTCTCTCTCCTTATTTTATGTTTGCGTTTTCCATTTTGCACTCATCATTACCGTAAACTCTTTGCACGCTCCGATTCTCACGCACAAAACATCCATCGAGAGAGAAACGCTGATTCCACAAGCCACCCTCCGAATTGGCAGAGAATAGAAAAGTGGTAGAAAATACAGAGAAGGAAAGAAGGCTCAATCAAGGAAGAGACAGAAGAGAGGGAAAATTCAATTCAATTCAATTAAATCAAAGAAAGAGAAATTGGTGGAGAGAGTGAGAGTGAAAGAGTTTCCCATATGTAATGCATCAAAAGAAATCAGAGGTTCAGATCGGAAAAGAAAGCATAGGCGTCTCTTCCGATTTCAATCCAACACCGCCACTTCAATACCAATCATCAATTCACCAAAAGAACGCACATCATCGCCACCAATTCTATCCCCAAATAGAAATAGACATATCCCCGCCCCAACCGCACCAACATCAGAAACAACGAACCCAAAAGCAACACCAACCGCCACTCTTCAAGTCCCACAACGCCGCCTTCTTCTCCGTCACCGTCGCCGCAAAAAGCGCTGCCTTCCGCGCTCTACGGCGCCTGAAGCGACAACGCGCGCTCTTGTTGCTGTCTCTTCCGTTCCTCTATTTCTACTTCCTCGTCTCTCGATCGTTCCTCTTAGACCTTCTCTCCGCGGTGGCTTTCTCCGCCGCGCTTCTCTTTTCTCTGAACCTCGCGCTTCCCTTGCCGCTGCCTTCAATTCGGCTCAAACCTCGCTCCGCCGTGGTCGGACGGCCGTCGGCGCCGCTGCCGGTGTTTTGGACGATCGGTTCGCGGCCGAAGTCGGAGAAGCGCGTGGCGTCGGGGTGCTGGGTTCAAGTTTTTGGAAACGGCGACGTTTACGAGGGGGAGTTTCACAGAGGGAAGTGTTCAGGGAGTGGGGTTTACTACTATAGCAGGAGTGGGAGGTATGAGGGGGATTGGGTTGATGGCAAGTATGATGGATTTGGGGTTGAGACATGGGCCCGTGGCAGTCGTTACCGCGGGCATTACCGGCTCGGGTTGAGGCATGGTTTTGGGGTGTATAGGTTTTACACTGGCGATGTTTATGCTGGAGAATGGTCCAATGGGCAGAGTCATGGGTGCGGTGTTCACACTTGTGAGGATGGGAGTAGGTATGTTGGGGAGTTCAAATGGGGTGTTAAGCATGGCCTTGGTCATTATCATTTCAGGTTAGTTTTCTTCAAGACCTGATCTTGGTATGTATGGATAACCAATCAAAAGTTTGGAATGATATTAGAATAATCTTAAGACGGCATGGGCTTTTTTGTTTATGAGTGTGTTTATGCGCACATTAATGTGCATTATTTGTTGAGTTTCAATTGTTTTTCTAATATCTTGTTGTGGTTGTTCCATTGTTGGCTGTTGGAGGGAGGTTTTGTTATTTAGTTGACTATGTGCTTCAGTTTATCTTTACTCTGCACCGTCTTTCTTTTGCAAGATAGAATGATGGTATTGCAGGTTTTATTAGATGCGAGCTCATGATTTGTCTGTTTTATTTGTTGCGTGCTGAGTTAGTAGGGTTTGTGAATTGATGAACGTTGTTCCCTTTGTGCGTTTCATAGAGTTTCAAGTGTTTATGAGCGATGGAATATTCAATGTCTTCAATTTGGTCCATTTGTGGTTTCAATTGTGTCAAAATATCTCATGTTTCAAAATGTTCGGGTTGCCCTTCAGTTTGCCTACCGGTGACAACTGCTGAGTTGAATATGTCATGCAATATTATGAAGCCATGTTTTGAGGACTTCCATTTTTAACACATCTTAAGCCTTTAGATAAATTGGATTTCTTCAATTCCAAGCTATTTTGGCACAAATGTGTAATTATTGTGGATTCTATTGTATTTATTAAGAAATAAGAATATAAGATGCAAATGTAAATACTAAAGTGTAGCCTTGTATGACCCTTTTCATTGTAGTTGTGTATCTAGAAGGGTTTCCCATTCATGTGAGAAAAGGGCATTATATATAAGGCCATTCTTTAGTTTCAAACTTTGCAGTATTTTTTTTTTTTTTTGGCTAATAACTTCACAGTATTTTATACCAATAGCAAGAAGCATAGTTATCAATCTCGAATAGCGGATAGCAGGATGGTCTTTATTTTGGAATTTTTTATATAAATTACATAACTTATGCTATAGGTATAAATTGTAAAAAATTAGGAAACAAATACCAAAACTCATGACATTTTTTAGTTAAGCAAAATATACAAGTATATAGCAATAAAAGTGAAGGAAATAAACAAGTTTAAGCCTTTAACTCAATGCCTTAAAGTAACAAAACATTAAAGACCAAATAAAACAAGAAGTGAATAAGTAGAAAATTTGGACAAAATATAAAAAAAAACAAAATAGCTAGAAAATGAAACCAATAGAACACATAAAAAGATAAGGAAAAAAGGAGAAGAGAAGAGAAACGTGAGAGGAGAACAACTTGCAAGACAATAGCAAACAAAGGAGAAAACAGAGCACTTGGCAGAAAATATAGAACAATGGTCAAAGAACAGTGGTTTGCTAGAAACACCAGAAACTGCCCAAAAAACACTAGCAGCTCATCAGAAAGCCATTAGAGAGCAGTGGATTGATGAACTGCACAATAGTAAAGGGTTAGAGAAAAAAAGGGTGCGAAAGTGTGAAGAGGCATAATCAGCTTTTTTAAATTCATTTAAAGTGTTACTTATTTCGACTCAAAAACACCCCAAAAATACCCCTTCCCCATACATAGTTTTGCAATGTTAAAAATTTAGGACATCTTTGGGTTTCCAAAAAGTTTCACAATAGTGGCCAAGATGCATGTGAAAAATATCAATTTCCATGACTATAGCATCTATGATATGACAGCTGCGACACTGAAATGCAATGCAATGAGCTTGAAATAGTGGTTGGCCACTGTGACATGATGCGACTCTGCTATAGCATTGCTATTGTGTGCTATTCACAACCTAGGCAACAAGTCACACAGTCTAAAGGATAATGATAAGAATCTGTGAGAACCATATCATAAAAGTTCGTTGCATTAGATGGAGAGCTAAGGTTTTATAAACTCCACATTAAAATCCTCATACTTCCAATGCGAGATTGAAGTCCTATACCTAGCAATTGGATCTTAACAGACTTATTTTTTCCAGTTATTCTCATGTTGACCTGTTCCAATCCATCTAAGATTGGTTAGTGAATATATGCTTTAAGATAAAAGCTTTTTACCTCTCCCAACATTTTTAGCCATATAGATACTTCAGTTGACCATTCCTGTCCTTTGAGATGATTGAGATGGTGTGACTTTTACTTATTTGCTGTAAATTTTAATGTTGCTGTTTTTTATTCTACAAATTGAAAATAGTGGGCAGAAAAAGGAAAAAAAACCATTTTAGTTGGCCTCAGTGAAAAGGTGTATGTTGGGAGGAATAAGACGTGCATCAGTTCTGTTAACTACTGTATCAACAGTTATTTAGTTGGGGAGGGAGAAATAGGAATGACAAGGCATAAATTGTTGGGGGAAAACAATGAGGGGTTTCAGATCTAGAGTAGAGGTTGGGATGGGGAGCCAGGAGGCCCAGGACTCATATTCCCTGGAGCTGTGAGTGATACTTCTCTGTATTCCTTCTTTTCCATCTTCCTTCTTGATTCTGCATTCATCTTTATTCAGATTCAAGTTGCATAGAGGTATTCAACAGAAGCTCATCTCTTTCCTATTTGTTCCTGATCTAGTTTCTGTTAACTGGTATTGAGCTCCACAATCCCAGTAGCATTTTGTGGTACACACACAACACAAGGCAGGAGGTTGATAGACCCCAGTGAAGAACGTTTACATGAGAAGGAATAAAGGGGTACAAAATAGGGAATTAAAAGAGAAAATGTAATAGAATAGCTTCAGATGTAACAATTTAGTGATAGTTAGTATAACAGACTAGTATAAATGGATAAGAGGAAAGAGGCAGTGGGTGGGTTGTAATCTCAAGGGAAAAAAATATATAGTGGGAGTTGACAGGCCACTCGAAGAGCCTGAAGTTGAGTTGTATTCATTATTCCTAGCTTGTGATTGATCTGGGTGTCATCCTGATCTTGGGTCCATCAACAGAAACCAAATCAATCAAGATTGAGTTCTTTTGTTTCTTTTCTTTCTTTTGGTACCAGTTCTATTTGGGCAGAATTGATGTTGCATGAGCCTGAAACATTGTCAGAAGAATCAGGTTGTGGCTAGGGTTGGAGTCCACCCAGCAAGTAGGAGTGGGTTTTCCTTCAAAAGTTTTCCCACTTCAGTAGAAACAGGATCTCAGGTGAGCCCACAGTCACAACCAACAGCAGGTCAGGTCCATCCACTACAAGTGCTACAGCCAGCAGAAATAGTGGAAGAGGAGAAGCATCCAAGGAAATGCCGAGAGGTTTTAAAGGTCTGACAGATGCTGAATGGCAAGAAAAAGTTGAAAAGGGACTTTACTTTAGATGTGATGAGAAATTTAGGCCATAGCTTGTGTATAAAAATAGGCAATTAAGTTGTTACTGATGGAAGGTGGGGTGGGAATGAGGAAGAACCAGAAGCTTTTCTCAATCATGAGCAGCAAGAAAGTAGTTACAAGGCTTTGCTGCTTTCTTTATCACTATGGTAGGTTCAACATAAAAAAATCATGGAAATTGTGGGGTGAATTAAAGGTGAGGAAGGTAGTAGCCTTCATAATTGTGGAGCATCCAACAATTTCATTTTCAAGAGGTTAGTAGTGGAGCTTAATCTACCCAGTGAGCACATCAGCTTATTATGTGGAGGTTGGAGATGGGCACAAGGTGAGGTGTCAAGGAAAGTGCAGAAAACTCATCCTTTTATTACAGAATGTGTAAGTGCAGTAAGATTTTTACCTTTTTGAAGTAGGAGGAGCAGATGTAGTGCCTGGGTTAGAATGGCTTGCAAGTCTAGGGGAAATAAGAGCTAACTTTTGAGAATTAGTTTTAAAAATTGGAAGTTATTAGGATTTACAAGTGCTAAAACTTAAAAGGGAACCTGCCTTGTCAAAAACAAGGGTCTCATCTAAAGCATTAATGAAGGATCTAAAAAGTGAAGGGGAAGGATTTATGGTTGAGTATAAAACGATGAATGAGACGGAATTAGAGCAGTCTCAAGTTCCAGCAGTAATAGAAGGAGATTCTTTGGGATTTTGAGGAGATAATTTAAAATTCTCAAGGATTCCTACCCCTCAAGTGGCTTATGATCATGCCATTCACCTAAAGGAAGGAGCAACAGTCCCCAACATCAGCCATATCAGTGCCCTCACTACCAAAAATATGCGATTAACAAATAATAAAATAGATGCTACAAGCAGGAATTATTGGGCCTCGCAAAAACCCCTATTTTGGCCCTATCATCTTAGTAAAAAAAAAGGATGGTGGGTAGAGATTTTGCGTAGAGTATAGGGCTATAAATACAATTATGGTACTCGATAGGTAGGTTTCCTATTCTAATTATTGATGAGTTATTAGATCAATTGGGGGTAGCAACCATTTTCCCCAAATAAGACTTAAAGTCTGGCTATCATTAGATAAGGATGAAAGAAGAGGACATTGAGAAGACTGCCTTTCATACAGGGGGTTGGTCATGACCAGTACCTAAAGATATCAAAGCTAGGGGTTCCTTGGGCTACCTGGTTATTAAAGATTTGTAAGAGAAGATAACCAAGCCATTAACACACATGTTGAAAAAGGAACAGCTTTCAATGGGGTGAGGAAGCTCAGCTCGCCTTTGATAAATTGAAAGCAGTTTTTGCCTACTTTCCCATCTTGGCAGTACCTGATTTTTCAAAATCCATGGAAACAGCAGACACATCTAGCAAAGGATCAGGAGCTGTACTTTTGCAAGAAGGAAGACCAGTACCATTTGTGAGTCAAGGATTGTTTGAGAAAGCTCAACTTAAGTCAGTATACTAGCGGGAATTATTGGCAGTGGTGTGGGCAGTACAAAAAAGACGCACTATTTGATGGGACGTCAATTCACTATCATTACATACCAATGCAGCTTAAAATTCTTGGAAGAACAACATTTATTAAGTGAAGAACAGTTTTAGTGGGTGTCCAAAATAATTAGGTTTGACTTTGAAATTGAGTATAGAGCAAGACGGGAGAATAGTACTGCCGATGCACTTCCACAAAAAATGACCTTTTGTGCAATTATAGTGTTGAAGATCAGTGCTATGGAGAGGGCCATGTGCTTTCTTGGTTCCAATGGTGGAGCTTGTTTTTGCAGATTCCCTCTTGAGCAGATTTAGGTGTAGCAGTGATTACAAGTGTCAACAATTCTGGAGGAAGAATCCACTTGTTGCTATTGGATCTGAAACAGGTAACATTTGTCAAATATTACAGACTCAAGAGAGAATAGTTTGAGCTGTATACTGGTCCTTTGCATCAACAGAACTAGAACATCTTAGATGTATTTTCTTGAATGGGTGGAAGGAGGAAGATAGGGCCAAATTAAAGTTGCACCTGGCAGAATCTTTATCAGAGATGATTGGTTATGCTCAATAGATTGATTAGACTATCAGGTACTAATCAGGGGAGAGGATACTGAGACTGTAACTTGGGTTACATACAAGAGTTCTTCCAAAACAGCTGAATATGAAGTTGGATCTCAGCTACTTGCATAGACAACAAACAAGGAGACCCAACAACGAATTCTGCAACCATTGTACTTCTACAAGCTGAGGAGGGGGGTTCACAAGAAAATCAAGACAGATCTGTTTTAGGGATGATGAGAAATATGATCCTGATCACATTGATGTTGATGTAGGAACCTTCACAGGAAGAAGGTGATGGATTGCTGCATGCTGCAGCATAGTGGGTGAAGGAGAATTTTTCTGAATTTAGCCTTGGGGGCACAAAGTGAAACTTGTGTGTTAGGGTAGGGGTGGGGGTACTGCTGCTAGCAGACCCAATTAAAAGGGCGTATGTTAGAAGGAATAAGGATGAGAACAGACAGAGCAGTTGAATTTGAGTCAGTTCGGTTGACAACTGTATCAACAGTTGGTTAGGGAGGAAGAAATAATGATGGTATAAAAATGGGAGGAAATCATTAGAGGGGAGTTCCTTGATTCTGCAATCATCTTGATTCAGATTTAGGGAGAAGAGTTGTGTTAAATGGAAGTTCATTGCTTTTATCCATGGTTTAACTCTTCGGCCCAGTTTCAATATACTATCTGTTCTTTGATGAGTGCACTATGTAGATACTTTAGAAAGATACCAGTTTCATTTTTCCCTATAAATCTGACATTGTGGTTAGCATTAGTGAGTTGGATCCTGGGGATGCAACAATTGGTGCTTAATCATTGCATCCTCCTGGTTTCTCACAAAGTGAATAACTATTGTTGAATAACTATTGGGACATTATCACCTTATTGTTGAATTATGTTTGGAGTTGTCTTCCACCTTTTTCTTTGCTCACTATGAAAAATTTATATATTGCATTTTGTTGAAACTGATTACTTCTGTTTAATTAGAAATGGAGATACATATGCGGGTGAATACTTCGCAGACAAGATGCATGGTTTTGGGGTATATCATTTTGCAAATGGCCATCGTTATGAAGGAGCTTGGCATGAAGGAAGAAGGCAAGGTCTTGGAATGTATACATTTAGAAATGGTGAAACCCAATCTGGTCACTGGCAAAATGGAGTCCTTGACATTCCAAGCACACAAAACACATCTTATCCAGTTTCTCCTGTTGGTGTCTCTCATTCCAAAGTACTTAATGCGGTGCAGGTACGTTATTTATGAATCATTTCCTGTAATTCTTGTTAGTGTTCTTTCCCCAGTTATAAATAGAAAAAAAAAAGGTGAATAATGTTGAATATTTTCTCGTCTTTGTCTACAGTGTCCTAGATATAATAGTTTGGAATCTGCTTGAATCTGTCATTGCTAGTTCTTGTGTATATGCTAATTCCAATAACAGAATGATGTCCCAATCTTTTCTCAAGCTAACTTTGCTTGGGTAGTATTCTTTAGCATTATTATTGCTTGACTCATTTCCTTTGTCTGCTTTGACAATTTGAATTATGGGAATTTCAGATTTGGCTATCCCTTACGTTTTGCTTTAAATTTTTATAATAAAACTACTACATTTAATATTTAGCGCTTTTTTGTGAGTTTGAGGATGGAGGAAATGATAGCTTCAGTATTAGTTGAATATTTGTTGCCACTAACATATTTTTTACTTAAAAGTAGCTATTAATTAAATATTTGATGCAATTTGAGTCTTAAGCTCAGACATTACTGGAAGGAAACAGGATTTTATTAAAAGTTGAGGTTGCAGATAGACTTCTGTACATATTGTCTTATATGCAAAAATTTAGCACAACCTTGAAAATGGAAGAAGACAACAAATTGCAGAGTTAGATAATTTACATTAGTATGAACTTTCTATTTTCATTATAAACTGTTTATATGTTAAACAAATAGGAAGCAAGACGAGCAGCAGAGAAAGCCTATGATGTGGCCAAGGTAGATGAAAGGGTGAACAGAGCAGTGGCAGCTGCTAATAGAGCAGCCAATGCAGCTAGAGTAGCTGCTGTCAAGGCTGTGCAAAAGCAAATGCATCATGTTAACAATGAAAGCTTCTCAATTCCCGTTGTGTAAGATGATAAATGCAGCTTACTGTAGAAGGGGATGGTGGCTACAATTGTTCAAATAGCTTCATGCCCATTGCAATCATCTCTTTGGCGTTATGCTTTTCTTTTGTTGATATTTGATTATTCGCACCTAGAACTTTACCACCAGGTAGCTAGCTGAAAGAAAGCAGATTTGTTGTCTATCTGCTACGGTCCTTGTATAGAGGGAGGAAAGGTGATGGCAACCTTATGGTAAAATTATTTAATGGATAACTTTTCATTTTGTCCCCTTTTAACACATTTTTGTAAATTTATGTAGATGTTAATGCTGGTGTGCAGGTGAAACCTCGAACCAGCTACTGTTGTATTATCGCTTCGTAAAATAAGGAGAGGAGAAACATATATAATAAAATGTTATTTTTTCCCCAACTGAAATTTATTGCTTTAGCTGACTTTGAAATGATATTATGTGAATCTCGTTAACTGGGGAAAGAAGTTTGCCGTTAGATGCTGATCTTAAAATTTGAAAGGGTACAGATAAATAGCTAAATTTTTCTTATGAATGATTCTCTACTTGATTGGAAAAGTTGCAAGATTGCCCTTAGTTGGGTTTTTGGGTTGCCTTGCAAACTTGAGTTTCCGTAACAACTGTAATCATTTGGACTTGTTCAAGTTGTGTAAGCCCATTCTCTTTGGTTTGACAACTAGCTGCAGTTTGTGGTGCTCATGCCAAACCTATCTGTGATCCATTAAAAGGTTTCATGAGCTGTCATTGCTGCTGCCTATGCTCATCTTCCTTTGTAGATCGAATTGCATTTTTATGCTGAGGTTATTTTCATTTTCCAGAATTAAAAATTGATTGTATTTTTAGCTTATACTTTTGGTGGAACATTCTGTTTGTTAGTGTAAATAATCATTTAAAAAACAGTAATAAAGAAATACAGCTCTTTGCGAAAACAAAAGTGTCTATTATCATACAATAAGGGACTATTTAGATCATAATGTCATTGAAAGGATTTTCAAGAAAGAGGCGTATTAGTTTGTTTTTTTTTTTTCCTATTTTAAATTTTCAAAAATGTTGGTTTGTTTTTCTTTTCTTCTCTTCTGTTAATACAATATTTTGGACTTTGCTCAGCCAACTAATTTATATTATGCGCCATGTCTTCTTAATTCCAATGTTTGATGTATCGAATCAATTGCTATCCACAAGTGAAGGATATGTTTCTACTTCCTTTTTTTTCAAGTTTAATTCCTATTGAAAAAAAGATCTTGCACCAAGAGATTTCTGAAGGTGGAGTTGAAAGTTACTATCCATTAGAGAATGTTTAGTTTCATGTGACGACACTGTTTTGTTCATAACTAACTACACGTGAACTCCAGTATTGCATGTCATTGAAGTACGTCTAAAATATTGGTACATCTTCACAGTAGGTGACATTAGAGTTAAATTTATATTTAGACTTCATTGTTGCATGTACAAATGTATTTCTAACGAATATTATTCTTTTTACTTTCTTTTATAACCATGATTTTGCTTCCCTGCTGAATGATACCCTGGCTTTTCTTACTAGCTTAATTTAATGTATAGCTTTTTTTGTGTGTCGTGAACTTAATGTTATAGCTTAAACACAATTTTTTGAGACTCAAGTTTTTCCAGTTTCCAAGTGCTTTGTATGTTAAATTATAATATAGTTAATTCTATCTTATTATTAGTATTTTCTGGAGATCCATACTTTTCATAAGATTTGCTAACTTTTATCCAAGGTATTTCAAATATGAAAAATTATTTAATAAAAAAGTGTTAAAAAGTTAATTGAGAGGATTAGTTAATAGCTAAGACATTTCAAGTTAACAATTAAGATTTTTACTGATTTCATGATCTTTCGCGACCTTTCAAGCAACTTGTATATTCTGAAATAAATTATATTGTAATAATTACGACTTTTATTTATATACCTTTCAAAGCATCTTACTTCTAAAGCAAAATATATATATATATATATATATATATATATATATATATATATTTTAAATCTATTTTCCATTTGGATATCTTTTTTTTTCTTGCTGTTATATAAACTCAAATTTGATTCAAATGTTTCACTGTAAATTGGATATTATTTAATGCCTATGATTTTTATATACCATTAAAATAATCTTACATCTAAATATGATAAATTAGCTTAAATGAAAATCTTTCTTATGTGAGGATTTTTTTCCCTTGCTATTATATACTGTCAACTTTGTTTCAAATGCTTTACCATAAATTGGATAATATGTAAAGATTTTTCTATATTTATTTTAGTATACTTTTTAAAATAACAAATATTTAATATCAATAATCATAATATATTTTCTTAGATTTGCATAAAACAATTTAAATATTACAAATATACACTTTTTCTTTAAGTTAATATAATAATATAATATGTAAAATAAGTTTAATTTGTTGCCTTTGTAAACTTTGCAACTATTTTATAAATATATCACATTCAAATAATATTTTTTTATAAAAATATAACGAATTTACCAGTGCAGTCGCACAAGTCACATACACTATAGTTAGAGGATAAATTTTAAACCAAAAGAATTACATGATCAAACTACTAAAATTTTTTAGTTTACTGATATAAACTTTAATAATATAATTAATATATGATTCTAGATTATTAACATAGTCAATGTTTTAAAATTGTTGGATGGATTCATAATGTTCCGAGTTCTAATTTTTTGAATTTAATTTTAATTTTTGGATTAGATATTTTAATTTTTGCAACACAAAATATTGTTAAAAAAATAAATTTAAAATATAATCTTTATCCAACCCCATAAATATGTTACTTACATAAAATTAGGTTTGGATTGTCATTTTAGATATTGAATAACTTTATTTTTTTCTAGTTGAATCTACCAAAACTTGTTTTAAAAATATCTCTTAATTATTAAGATTTAGTTATTATTATTATATTTATAATTATTTATTATTGTCTCTATTATTATTAAAAGATAATCTAAAATATTATGAGAAAAATAATCTTTAAGTTCTATAAGACTTTTATTTTTTTTATTTTTAAAATTTTTCTTATTTTTTACTATTAGGTATAAACTCACTTTTATAGTGTTTAAGTTAAGATATAATTACTGTAACATTCTAAAATAAAAAATCCGTACAATGTATATTTTATTTTTAATCATTTGAAATGAAACATTAGTTTTTGTATGTAAATGAAAATTTTAAATTTTGCAATGCTAATATAATAACAATAATAAATACTGTAAAAAAAATAAATATTACAACTAAAATTTAATATTCTTCATGGAAAACCTGAATATATAAAATTTAATATTCTTCATGGAAAACTTGAATATACATTACATATATTAACATAAAAATTTCAACTGTTGTAAAAAATATATAGGATTTAAAATAATATTTACATCACATAAATAAATATAAGTTCCAGAACAGTTTTCTCTATAACTAAACATTAAAGGCCAGTCCTATTCATCAACTTCATGCCAACTCTTTATTTTGGCCAAATCTTCTAAATTCATATCATCATCTGATCCCAGATAGCGATTGCCTGAATCAGCTCTTTATGAATTTTTATTACTTAGTTCAAATTCAATTTGGACAAGTAATTAAATGTTGTGGGACAAATAATGGACAAGAATATACGAGCAAAAATTTATCTCAATTTTTATAAGAAAAAAAGAATTTTTCATGAATTGACATGTGGAGATACTTCTCAACAAAATGAAGTTACAAAAAGAAAAAATTGACTACTTTTTAAGTTATTAGAGCTTTGTTATTTTATATGACAATGCCAAAATCATATTGGAGAGAAGTAGTTTTAATGATTGCTTAATTGATCAATAGGTTGCCAAGTCGCATTTTGAATCTCTCTAGTCCTATGCAGTTTGTGTTTACCTTTCATCCTTTTGTTCCTACCCTAAACAACTTTGAGGTTCAAGTCTTTGGTTGTATTGCATTTGTTCATGTTCATAGTCAACATCATGTCAAGTTGGATCCTTGTGTTGTTACGTGTATTTTAATAAGATATACTCTAAATGAAAAAGGGCTATAAATGTTATCATTCTTTGAGTTGTTGGGTCTGTATTTCTATGGATATCACTTTTAATGAGACAATTATTTTACTCTCATCCTCAACTTCAAGCAAATAGCCATAATGAAGTTGAGTTGGTTGGTCTTTATGAATTTTTGTCTCTTCTCCCTCTTAATCATTGTTATATGTAGGAATTGACTTCTCTTTTCTCTAACTCAAGCGAAGAAGAAAGTGACTCATTACCAACCAAAGCAAGTACACTTATCTTGAGGAGAAAAAAACTTGACCTGATCCAATTGTAACTTCAGTTACCTAAACTAAAAGTAAGTTCTAGTACAATTGATTTTGAGTCATTAAATATTCCTTTAAATAACTATAACTCTAAATTAGATGATACGCTCATTGCTTTGTTGAAAAGAAAAATATTTCGATGTTAGGTATCCTATTTCTTAGTTTATATTCACTAAACATTTATAAGTACAACATCAAAGTTTTATCTCTACTACTAATTCTTCAAATATTTGTAAGTCAATATAGTCTTAAGGATGGGAATTGGGTTCAAGTGATGAATAAAAATAGGCTTAATTATATTTTTGGTTCCTATAAATGTTAGTCATTTTGTGATAAGTCCTTACAAATTTTTTTGTTAGGATGTCCCTGTAAAATTAGAAAATTAGGATATAGTCCTTGTAAAATTATAAAATTAGGATATAGTCCTTAATGTTAACCCCTTCTTTGTTAAGTGTTAAGCTAATTGATGGAGAACTAGCTCAGCACTCCACGTGGCATGTTACGTAATTTATTATTTTTAATTTTTTATTATTTAAAATTAAGATTTGCAAATAAGTCTCTGAACCTATTTTATATAATTGCATAAAAGTTTTTTTCCCTTCCTTTTCTCCTTCTCCTTCTCCTTCTCCTTCTCCTTCCCCCCACAACCCCTCCCTTTTCCCCCACCCCTACCCCTTCCTCTTCCCCACACCCCCATCTGCACCATCCCTTTCCTTCACCGACTTCCATTCTTTCATTCGTACCACTCCTCTCCTCTACCCACTTCCATTCCCCCATTTGCACCACTCTCCTTCCTTCCCCCACCCCTTCCTATTCTCCCATCCACACCACCTCTTCCTCTTTCTCACACCCCTCTCCCTCCAACACCTCCATCCGTACTACCCCTCTCCCCCACCCACTTTCATTACCCCATCCGCATCATTCCTCTCCCTCGCTACTTCTTATTCTCTCATTCATACCACCCTTTCCTCTTCTCTACATCCTCACTCACATCCGCACCACCTTTTTTCCTTCCCTTTTCCCACACCCCTCTCCCTCCAATACCCACACTTCTACTCCCATCCAAACCACCTCTCTCTTACCCTTTTTCCATTCCTTCCATTCACACCACCTCCATCTCCTCTCCCTTCTTTTCCTATTTCTCACACTTGCACCATCCCCTCTCCCTCTTCTTCCCTTCACCCCAAATCTTTTTCCATTATCATATTCTCACTCCTTCCCTTATCCCACTCTTCCCCTTCCTCCTATCCATATCTCCATTCCCAATTCATTCTTCATTTTTTTCTTATTAAAATTTTGTTTATGTTTTAGATATTAAGGGGTTATGTGAAGGTTCTATGTTAGGTAATGGAAAATTAATTTGAAATGTGTATAAAGTTTAAAAATGAATGTTCTAAATATGGGGTGAAGAAAGAGTTTAATGTAATGAAAAATGAAAAATTGTTGATGAGGGAAGTAGGGAGAGGGAAGGAGTGGGAGTGGGGGAAAGGGTGCTAGAAGAAGGTTGTGGGGAGGTGAGGGGAGGGACTGCAGAGAAGAAAGAAAAAGTTAAAAAGACTTTTATACAATTATGTAAAATATTTTTATGCACTTATTTACAATAATATAATTTTAAACAATAAAATATTAAATGACTGAGTGCCACGTAGGTGTGCTAAGTTAACACTTTGTCAATCAGCTCAGCACTTAATAGAAGGGAGTTGATGGCAAGGACTAAATCCTAATTTCTTTACTTTTTAGGGACTAAATTTTAACAAAAATTTTTATAAAGACTTATCACAAAATGACCCATATTTATAGGGATTAAAAATATAATTAAGCCATAAAAACATGTGTGCATTGGAAAAGAATACAACTTGGGAGATTGTAGAACAACACAAAGACATGAAAACAATGAGTTGTAAATGAATCTACACAATTAAATAGCAATCAGATGGTACCCTTAATCAATTTAAGGCTAGATTAGTTGCAAAAGGACATTCAAACCTATGAAATTGACTATGAGGTGATATTTTCACTGATGATAAAAATAAATATTATGAGAACTATCATTTCATTTGTAGCATACTTTGGTTGGAGCTTACATCAGTTTAATATAAAAAATACATTCTTGCATAGAGTTGCATGGAGACTTAGAAAAAGAAGAATATATGGATATTCCCTTAAGATTTGGCACCATTAATGATGGAAACGAAATGTGTAGATTGAACAAAGCTTTACATGGGTTTAAGCAATCTTTGTGTGTTTAGTTGAAAGATTTACTAAGGCTATGACATCCTTAGAATACAAGCAAAGTTAGGAAAATCATACTCTTGTCATAAAACTCTTAGAAGATGGTAAACTAATGGAGCTGATGAGATTGAAAAATAAATTCATACTTGAAAAAGAAATTAGTTGCTTAGTTTGAAATGAAAGATTTAGGAAGACTAAAGAACTGTTTGAGAATTGAAGTGACCTACTTAAAACAAGAAATCTTTTTTTTTTAATCTCTTACAGAGAATATGTTCTAAATCTTCTCAAGGAGACTATAAAATTAAGAGACAAGGCTACCGGGGTACTTATAAAACAAAATTCATCAAATAGAAGGAGAAAACGAGAGTCTTAGTGTAGATAAAGCCCAATCCAAAGTAATTGGATTTTTTATGGTATTAAAAATAATATTAACTAAAATATGAAAATTTTAAAAAAATTACAGAAATATAAAAAAAAAATTATCAATAAAATTAATTAATATTATAAAATTTAAAATCAACTAACTTTATTTAAAAATTTGCAATGAAAATTTTGGAGTCTTCGTTTCTCTCAATTTTATATTTCAGCCTATAATATTTTTAATTTAAAATATAAAAAAGTATAAAAAAAAATTTAACTTTCTCAACAAAAAAAGAAGTGACTTAACCTGGTTGGAGCTGAATGAAGTTTCTAGAAGCAATATTCATTCTCGTAAAAGTTAAAAGTAACCCGACGTAGACATGAAGCAAGGTCAAACCCATCTTCGTCAGATCAAATTTTACGAATAAGAAAACACTTTTTATTATTAAATAAAATTTATTAAGAATTTAAAAAATTGAACGCGGCCCACTGTTCACTGAATCCAACCAATCGAATATGTTACTTAAATTAATTAAATAATAAAGAAAAACACGCTTTGGAATTCGGTTTCGTCTGTTCTTTTAATCTCGCACCTTACGAGAAGTCTCACCCTTCTTCAGCTTCTGCACCATCCTCTCCTTAACTCTGAAACTCTCGAGTACCAAATTCCAATAATACCCCTAACCTATTCCCTAATTTACGAAAGCAGCCATGTACAGCAACATGCTGGTCAACTGTTCCAGCTGTCGCACCCCTCTGCAGCTGCCACCTGGGGCCGGATCCATCCGCTGCGCCCTCTGCCACGCTGTCACTCACATCGCTGACCCACGCGCCGTCCCTCCTCAGCCTCCCTCATCCACCTACGCGCCATCGCCGCCCTCCCCTTACAACCACGCGCCGCCCGGTCCCCCGCCCAGCCCCCACGGCCGCAAGAAGGCCGTGATCGTCGGCATCTCCTACCGCTACTCGCGCCACGAGCTCAAGGGATGCATCAACGACGCCAAGTGCATGCGCTACCTTCTCGTCAACAAGTTCAGTTTTCCCGAATCTTCCATCATCATGCTCACTGGTATGTACCTATTCTTTGTTTCGATCGCTGCGTTTTCTGTTTATTTCCCGAGATAATTGTTGTACAATGTCAGAATTAGGGATTTTCTTCAAGAATGGATTTTATATTTTATCAATAATTCAGGTTTTAGTAATTTCTCTGGTTAATTTCGATTGAATTTATTAATCCGTGCTATCTGACATGAGGGTGTATTTTTTTTTAAATCTATGAATAGAATTTTCTCAATTAAGTTAATTAATAATTAGTCATTAATTGATTGCGTTAAGTGTTTTTAGTAATTTTGTTGGTGATATGAGTAGATAGTTAGAAAATTAGTCTTAATTAACGGTTAGTTATTAGTTTTGCTTCATTAATTTCAATCTAAAAATTTGCGTTTGTCCAATTGTTCTATCTAATATTACCCTTTTCTTGCGGCTGTGATGAAATATTCACCTTTCATTTCGCTTTCATTTCTTCAATAGATAGGTAGAACTAGAAGTAGAATACAGGAGTTGAGAAACAATGTTGTTTAAATTATTGCTACTTGCGTTAAATCCATTATTTATCTGATACCTATGTACTTGTTTCCTATTAGTAAGTCCTACTATGATGCGTTCATAATTTCCAAAAATGATCACAAAATACCAACACATTATACGTTCTCACCATAAAAGAAGTGTATGATTAAGTTTATTGTCTAAGCTGTGTTCTCACAAACCGTATGCCTAAGTTTGCTAAGTAATTACCATTGCATCAAACTGTGTCCTTCAAACAATTTACTTAGGTTCCCAACATTTTGTAAATAGTTATAGTAGGTTTCAACAAAAAAAAATTTCTCAGAAATCTTTGTATGGTTGTTATTAATTAGGAAATATAATAATTTGCATTGATTAGAAAGCTTATGGTGAAGTTAGAGATGTATCTCTTCCTGGTTTAGATATTAAAACTTATCTTCTGCTAACACAAACAAAAGATTCATTAACAATACTTCCAACTTAACCAGTTTGACCTTTTGATATGTTACAGACTTCTTATTTCTAGAAGGCTATTTATATAAATAGATAAAATAAAGTTCAATTGCATGGTTTTTCTCTCCTCCTTATTGTCCAAATGTCAAAATTAAATTCACTCATGTCACATGCTCAATTTTTTTAGAGAGTAATTCTTAAATAATAGAACATGAAATTAACATCTTTTTTTACATTTTCATTAAATGTTTATGGAGGAGGAGGAAGAGAAAGTGATTCTTGTGCTTAATTTTATAATAAATAGTAGTTATATTACTTCAGAACCTAGAAGGTAGGTGTTGTAATTTTGCCATACATAATTATGTGTAATTTAGTCAATAATATCTGATCTAAACATCCACATACGTCTATTATCTTCACCCTTGGTTTTGTACTTGTCCAAATAATAATCTTGCTGTCTCACTATGCAACACGTGTGTCCTTGAGAATTTGGCCAAAATCTTGTTTCGATTTTACATGCATTCAGATAGGCAGTTTAACTATACAGTAAATCTTTGACAAGTACCAATGAGCAATGGTAATGATGATAAAAATGACTATGGTTAGAAACACTCTACAGAGCTGTGGGTTTGACACTTTGTGTTGAAAAGAAGACACAGTAGAACAGTTTCAAACTCTATCTCGTGAAAATGGGGAATTGCAAATAATTTATACACAAAAATTGGACAGACGGCTGATAATTTTTTTATTTTTTTTGGAGTGGGGGGGAGGTGGATAATGCCTTGTATAATTAACTAGTGTGTAAAGTGAGAAAGTAAATTTAAACACCTTGTAAACCTAACCCACTTTAATTCATAGGTGGAGACATGGTACCCTTACTATGCCACTATGCATTTTCTCACTTTTGAAGAGTCAAACCTATATTAAGAATATATGCAATGCATATTTTTTATGTAATCTCAGCATTTTTCAGACATAATTTCCTGTGCTATTTTTGTATAACAAATAAGCATAAAGGTATATATACTACTACTCATTATTTAAATTACAAAATGCAGAAGAAGAAGATCCCCGTGGCCCCAAATTTCCATCAAAGCACAACATCAGAATGGCTATGTATTGGCTTGTGCAAGGATGTCAACCTGGGGACTCTCTTGTTTTTCATTATTCTGGCCATGGATCGCAGCAAAGGAACTACAGTGGTGATGAAGCTGATGGATATGATGAAACTCTATGTCCTATTGATTTTGAAACACAGGGTATGATTGTAGATGATGAGATCAACACAGCACTTGTCAGACCTGTTACTCATGGGGTTAGGCTGCATGCACTAATTGATGCCTGCCATAGTGGCACTGTTCTAGATTTGCCATTTCTTTGCAGAATGAACAGGTTACATTCTAAAGAATATAGTCTATTATGGTTGCTTGCATGGTTTAACTATTATCAATTTTTGTTTTGTTGGCTTTATCGCTTTATGATTGTGATATTTGATAAAAAATATTATTAACTTTGCATTAAAACTTCATGTAAAGGACAGGATATACTTAATCATCTGCTAAACAAATTGAGCTCAATTCTTTAATAATTGTGCCTGTGATTGATAAATAACCAAATTGTTACTGGATGATAACATTTTTATTTTATCAATTCATTTTTTCCATTTTTTAAGTTCAATATCAAATTTTTACATGTTAAATTAATCCTGTGAAATCTTGTAATTTACACTAATAAAATGCTAGATGAGTGAAACAGCAGCACTTTGATACCTATTTGCAAGAATCAAGGAGAAAGGACAAATATGTCTGCAGGGAAATTAAGCTCATGAGTCACACTATATTGGGCAGATATATAAAGTTAGATATGCTCTTTGGTAGTGAATGTTGGGTGCAATATAGTGTCAACAAGAGCAGAAAGTATAGCACATATGATCCTCTTAAAAGAAGGTGCAGAACAAATGATAATTGGAGGTGGATGACTAGATATATATGATTTGAGATAAGAGTAGGAAATCTTGTATGCCTGAGAGAGTTTGAGTGTCACTTATTGAGTAAAAATTAAAATAGACTTGCCTAAGGTAGTTTGGTTATGTGTGAAAGTGAAAACCAGTTGGCAAAGATTTGGTCTCAATAGTGTCCATTGATCTACGTAGTTGACTCCACTTGGTGGGATAAGGCTTATTTATTGTTTTATTGGTGGGATAAGTCCACGATGGTAGAAGAGTTTGGATCAAAACTAAGATATACATTTTACATTTTTGTTTTTCCATTTTCTTTTCATTTGAATGTTTTACAAATGTAGTTTTGCTTTGTTTTATGATTGAATATTTTATTTCCATAGAACATGCGTAGTTCTCTGGTACCTTCTATGCACACCTGTTTCTGTTTCTTTGAAACAGGAGTGGACAATATGGATGGGAGGACCATCGCCCTAGGTCTGGCGTATGGAAGGGATCAAATGGTGGAGAAGTTATCTGCTTTAGTGGATGTGACGATGATCAAACTTCTGCTGATACATCTGTAAGTTTCAGAAAAATCAAATTGACTTGTGTCTCAGACTGTTTCAATCTATAACTGTGAGACCTGTTGTCTGAGCGTATGATTTTATCACTATAAACAGGCACTATCGAAGATTACATCAACTGGGGCTATGACATTTTGCTTCATCGAAGCCATAGAGCGTGGTCATGGTGCTACCTATGGCAGCATTCTTACTGCTATGCGCACCACCATCCGAAATGTTGGCAGTGGTGGTGGTATTGGAGGCGGCGATGTGGTAACATCCCTTCTCTCCATGCTTTTGACTGGAGGTAGTCTCAGTGCTGGTGGACTAAGACAGGTAAATGAAGTTTGATTTGACAGTTGTTTGATCATGTTACAAAACCAAGTTTTCACTGTTTTCTTTCCATGGCTTGCTCTATTATCTGAACTCATTAGTTCTTTATGCCACCCATAACAGTTATTTTAATTTTTTTATTGTTGAACTGACTTCTGCTATTTTCTTTTCCTTTCCATTTCCTTTTGTTTCAACAGGAACCACAGTTAACAGCTTGCGAAGCATTCGATGTATATAGAAAACCTTTCTCATTTTGATATTCAATATTCTTTCAACTGCAATTTGTTTTTCTTGACGCTGGCCTTGTACACGAGTAAATTGATTATAATAATAAATTTAATGTATTATAAAGAAGTGGATAGGATTCTTTTCTTTGACTGAGGATGTGTTTGGTTGAATTTGTCTACCATTGAAAATGTGATATGCTTATAATAATGACAGTGATTCCTTGGCTTAATATGCGGATTCGTCTCAGCTTAAACGCTTAATTTGGATTCCCCATCAGAGTTGAGCATCTTAACCCTGTTTAAATTAGATGTGTTTGTGGCATGAAATTTTCCTCGCGAAAAACATCGCTTATGATTTGAAAGTAATTGTCTCGTTGATAATACATTATGTCTAAATTAATGCAATTACTTGTATAGTCTGTTTGGAACAACAAATTTTTGGTTGATTTGATAAAGGTTATAAAATAGGAATTGATTCGATTTTACTGTAGTTAAGTGTTTGACTTGGCAATTTTACCTTGTACCCATCATATATTTTAAAAGATTACTTACGTAATGATGTTATTCAATCGAAATTAATTGTTAAAAGATTAGCGGTGATTATTGAGTTGAAATATAACACTTGACTAATTTAAGCTGGACATCAATATCACAAATATTATAGTAGATTAGTTGTCTTATTTCAAAAGAATTGTTAAAGTTTGTTATTTTAGTAATGCAAGTTTCATTTCTTTTGGCCTTAATTGATATTGTTCGGTCTTTAGTTTTGAATTTTTAAAAATTATCAATTCTTAATTTTATATTTGTTAGTTTTAAATTTTTAGGATTTTCAATTTTTTAAAATTTAATGTTAAATTTTAAATTTAAACTATACAAGTGACTTCTTAATTTTTAATTCAAGTTTATTTTGTAACACGGTAACTATGCTTGAGGGAAGAAAGAAAGAGAAAAGCAAGGATAATATTGACAACAGATTTGGCTACAATGGTAATGATGTGATAATGATGATAAAAATGACTATAATAACAACATAACAAGAAGGATAATGACGGTTATGACAATAAAGATAATAGTAATAGAAATAATTAGTAATAATAATATTCATTAATGGTAATAGTACTCATAATGATAACAATGATAATAAAGTAATGACAATGGTAACAAGACGATGATGCGATGAAAATAGTAATGATGCAACAATGATCATTAACTAATAGTAATAATTGTAACAATGACAACAATTGATAAGTAATGACAATGATATTGAAAATAGAGATGATGATGGTGGTAGTTATTTATTATGAAAAGGAAAAAGTTAAAATGATTTACTTTTTAATTAAAAAAATAAAAAATTAAGGTAAATATTAATTTAACTCCATTTCATTGGAGCATGTTTTATTTTAAAATTTTGTATTTGAAATTAAGAATTTAAAATTCATAATCACCTATTTAAGGTCTCATGTTATATTTTAATAATTCAAAATGCAATGTCACTTAATTAAGTTATTTTAGATTATTTTATATAAATATTACATTCTAAAGAAAAATGTCTGAATAAATTATTGATGAGTAAATTTCATATTAGACCTCTAGATGATGAGTTTGGCATTTTAGACCTTCAAAATTTAATTTTTTTTAATGATTCTTGAGAATAACTACCACCTATCAGTTAGTTCATTCATCGCAGATATTGAACATTAATAAAAAAAGATTGAGTTGTCCCGTTAAGTGACATGTAATATTGTTTGTGATTATAATGATGTTATTAAGCTTTAAGAATGACCAAATTATGCCTTTTTGCTTTTTCTATTTACTTCTACCATCTTTGGTTATTGTTCATATGCATTGTTGGTGGTATTCTAGTAGAAATAGTGCAAACAAATTTTTTTTCTCATATTGCAATTGTTTCAATTCAACAAAATACAAATCTTTTTCTATTAATTGGTCATAAAAGAGTAAAACAAAAGGTGTTCGAGTCAATGGAGGAGAACCTTCTCTACATTCCAACTATGTCACTCTAACTCAACTCCAAGACTGATACCAACAAAGCTAAATAAACCAATCTCAATCAAACAACACCAAGAAGAAAAACAACACCCAATGCCTAATTACCACTAGCAATCTCTAAGAAATGAAATTGCTTCTAAACCTCATCAAATTGGAATAGTATGCAAACTCAATGTCATGCAACAAAAGTGGCCTTTAATGACTGCTACAAATCAAAGTCTAGCATTAGGATCAAATCTGAAAATCCATTGTCTAGTTTTTTTTGCTATAAAGAGAAAGTTGTGAGTTTAAGGAGTATTTAAAGAACTTTCGTTCTAAAAACTTTCATTTAGAACCAAACAATTTTTTCTCTCATTTTTCTCTGTTCTCTCAATTTCTCTTCCCAGAGAAAACCCTCCCAAACTCTTAATTTCTTTTAGATCTGAGCTTGAACGCTTATTCCTTACGATCCCATGTAAGTTTTTCGAAACTTAGTTCTCCAAATTATGTTCTATTCCTCTGTTTCTCTCTTCTTAAGAGTGCTCTCTTTTGTGATATCTAGAAAAAAATCTTGATCTTTGGTAGTATCTCCTATCATAACATTGCATTTCTCTATAAATCTTATGAAGAAAATAGTCTTAGAGACCTGTTTCCAAGTAGGGGAGTTAATGTGTAATAAGTAAATAAGGAAATTACAGTTGTCAATAATAATAGTTTTAGTAGTTAGTTGATCGGTAAAACCTGTAATTGATTGTACAAGCCTTAAAAGGCTATAAATACTCTTGTAATTCCCTGTTATTAAAAGAAAATGAATTCTTAGTTTAGTTTGGCATTCTCTTTCAATAGTTCTCTCGGTGTGAGCATTATTGAAGGGTTGAGTGTTCTTGAGTGAGGATCTCAAGAAAGTTAGGAAAGAGAAAACTTTCTAACATGATGATTCCAAACTTTAACTCCTAATTATGTATTTTGACTTAGAAATCCTAAGTTTTCCTATTTGAACTATAGAACCCTAATGTTTCTTAAAATTTCGGTGGCAAAAATGGAAATTTTAGACATGAAAAACTTATAGTTGTTCTCAAAACTATTTAAATATAATTTTATAGCAAAAGTTCTAAACAAAATTGTTTTTAAAGAAGTCCTGTAATTTTATTATTGATCATTACATATGTACAGTTAAGATTGTAATTTATTATTTTGAATAATGTGTACTGTGAATGATGTCAAACTTTAGGATAAAAGATTTTATTAAGACCGAGAGAGTGTAATATTTGGCAAAGTATTTTTATACTATACAACTAGTTTGAATCCAGAGATATCTAACCTTCGACACATTTCATTGACTTGTATAATGTAGAATTGATTGATGATTTCTCTGTATTAGACTAATATGATAAAATGAGTGTGAATCTTCATCTGATAGTTGATGCACGTTGAAAATTTATGAAAAATGTTTGATTGCCTTTGAATGATAAAATGTTTTATTAGTGAAAATTGATGAATAGAGGGCTAATGTAAATGGTTATGCATGAGAAATTAAAGTTTTTTATGTTATTTGAATTGAAAAGAGAAATGTTGAAAAAGTAAGTATCATGAGAAATACTGAAACTATGTATAAATAGTTACAAAGATACACTAGAGATAGAGTTTGGAGAAATTTGAAAAAATGAGGATGGTGAATGCTATTTGTAAGTGGGTGCACATGAATTGCTAAAAGTAAAGCATTTACAGGTCACATACTCATTTCTTAACGAGACTTCTGACTATACCTTTACTTAAAAGGGGGCCGAGTTAGCATACGTATCCATGTTGCTGTAAATAACTAGTAGCTATCTATATTTATGGAAGACATCAAGGGATCCTAGGAGCAATGAAATTGTAATAGGCGAGTCATAACAAATTAATTGATATGATTATAATACAGGTATTGTGATACATTGACGGAGGTAATTATGATACTTATATTGTAATATATTAATTAATATGGTTATAACATACATATTATGACATACTGCTCAATGTGAGAATGCATGAAATAATATGAACATAGTGTATGTTTGAAAGTACTGATGATATGATTGATAATTTGTTTGATCTAATGTAACACTCTTTAATATAATATATGAGTTGGTATTATCTAAGTGCATATTGTATTAAATGATTGTATTTGATTAAGTGTGAAATGATGTGTATGGATGATTTCTGTCCGGTTAATATTATAAAAAAATTAATTATTTCTATTTTGATGCATAATGTATTAGAAAATATTTCCTGTACTATTTTGATTGTATTATAAAAATAAAAGTTCAGTAGGTTGGAGGATGCTTATCCTTACAAACATTTTTAGATAATGAAGAGATAAAAGAAGATAGATCCGTTCTAGAATCATACTCACAGTGAATTGTAAGAAAAGAAAGTGTTTTAATAAAATATAGTTTATTTTGATGAATATAATAAAAATAATTAAGTTTTTAATTAGAGTTTATAGTATTTTGATAAACTTTGTTGTAAATAATAATTTGAAGTGCAATTATAATATTTGGTAATTAACTATTTTAATTGCAACTTATATTTAGCTTTCGTTAAAAGATGTAATTTGCCAAAATGCAATATTGATTGTATTTTAAACTTATCTATATGTAACCTGAGTTAGGAAAGATGCTAAAATTTATAATGTTAGTTTTATTCTAATTATAAACTTAAATTCGAAATTATTTCATACTATTATGAATAAGACTTATGTATATAAAAAGTTTTAAACTTTACTAACTTTTATCGATTTTAAATTTATATATATATATATATATATATATATATATAAATGTCTCCAAAATTATCATTATTTTATAATATTTCAATTAAATTTCATCTATATTTATTTATTTAATAAAAGAAAATTTTTAAATCATAAAGAAGGAGTTACACAGCACACTTAGAGAATCTACTTTTATTTTCATACATGTTTTAGTAAAGTTTACTATTCTCATATCTTTTAGAAAATGATTTCACATAAAAATAGTGATTAAAACATGTTGAGTTTAATTATTTTAAAATTTATTAAAATTATAAATGGGAATGAAACTTTAATTTTTACTGTGAGGTAATTAAAGATGTCACGAGATGTTAATATTTTTTCACGCTAATTAGATTCTCAAATTCGAATATGGTTAAAGAGACTATTTTCAAAGTCTTCTAAAACTTTTTAAAAATTCTAACACAATTCATCAAACCTTTGTTAGTTTTAGAAAGAGAAATGGAAAAATAAAAATAAAAACATCCATGACAAGTTGAACCCATTGCCAAAGCCCATTGATCATTCAGTGTTTTTGAATTGTTACCGATTCCAATTGGTTTCACGGGTACACTTCAATCGTGTGTTACCTGCACGTACACTGGAATAAAAAATAAAATTCCAACCATTTTATAATTGAAAGATTATAATATATATATATATATATATATATATATATATATATTTAATGAGTATAAATACAATTTTGGATAAGGTCTTGTTACCATAAACAAAGCTATTTTCCAAACTAGTTAACATGGTCATTTTCTACTTGTTTCGTTTGCGATGGCAGGAGAAGGAAAATTAAATTATTTTACTATTATATCTTTATAATAATTTAATATTAATTTATATTTTTTCATGATTTATTTGTAATTTTGTTTGCTATAATAGAATTTTTATCATTAATTAACATAGAATGAGTTTTATATTACGGACGAGAGAGTTTCAAAAGTGAAATATTTAATTAAATTATTCTCTTGCAAACTTTGTCTCGTGTATATTTTAATATTAAAATTTATTAAGAATTATGTATAAATTATATTATTTTTAAAATTTTATTTTTATACATATTTTATTTATTTTATTCTAAATTTTAAAAATTAAAGTTGTTGAACTTTTTTTATTATCTTGTATAAATATTTACATTTCAGAATATTATTTCTTAAATTTATAGTCATTAATATGTATTGATTATTGATATTCAATTTAAAAATTTTAACACAATACAATAAAAATATTATTTAAAAATAAATTATATTTTAAAATTATTTATTTTTATTAAATATTTATTATATTGATCTAGATTATTTATTGTTATAACATTACGTCAAAATAATTTTTAAAGCAAGCTATTATTTAAAATATTTTTATTATATTTACATAATTCTTTACAAAAGAAGTATTTAATTATCAAATTATATGCATATCTATTTTAAAATAAAATAAATGTGCATTTTACAGACTACTAGTAGTTATTATTATGTTTATCCCGTGTCTCTTTACCTTAGTGTCGGGTTCATAATTGTGTAAAAAAACTCAACAAATTTTAAATAATTTTATATAAACACTTTGATAAAGTTAACATATCAAAATTTTTAATATATATCTTAAGACACATGTTAAAATTATTTAAAATAAAAATACTTATTATGTTAAAATTATTAAAGCATTTAATGCATATTTGATACAGTAATTACAGCATATAATAAGATATATTTAATATTACTTTTTTATACCCAATTTAGAAAATTATTTTTATATACACACTTCTTTAAAACACTCATTGTAATCAAATGGAATAATATTTAAGTGAAATATGATAGATATTTTAGTATTTTTTTAATTAAATTAAAACTTTATATTGATAATCTTTTACACTAAAGATCCAAATATATTATTAAGATAAATTTGTTGTTTTAATTAAAGACCAATATTAAAAATATTTACGAGGACTCTAGAAGATAATCCACTTTAATGGTACAAAATTTATTTTTGTGAAAACGCATTATACGATATCATTTAAAAAAAATTCTCAAACGGAAGCACTTTTAGGGGTTAGCTTTTCTTTTTCATCGTCAAGATCTATACATAATTTGGACTTCACATCTTAAATAAGAATATTTTTTAAAAATTTCTTAAATGGAACACTATTAAGAGTTAATTTTCTTTTTCATCATATAAAATAAGTTTTCTATTAATATAATTATTTTTTAACTTAATATTATTTTTAATTTTTTACAATTTTATCTCTTTGTTTAATATATAATAAATAATTTTTATTAATAATTATAATATTTACTTTCAAAAAATTATTAAATTTTAAATAAGTCATACATTATACATTTAATTATTTATTTAAATTTTTTATTTTAAATTAATAATGCTCGTGTAGTACATGAACAAATCACTGGTTGATTATATTTATTATTATTTTTACACAGTTGCAATGTTTGTTAAACATTTTTCAAGAGTGAGAACTTTTCCTGGCCTTCTTACATGCTAATGCAATTCAATCATTTAGAATCTATTCAGTAGACATAAAATTATAGGGGGGAAAATAAGAGACAATACGTTGATGCATAGCAAAATAATAAATTAAATATATTGTCTTATTAAAATAAATTATATTTATGTTGAGAAACCGCATGTAAATTCTTAAAAACAAACATGGAAACAAATATTTAATGCTTTACTCAAATCATACCCGTTGTCACCCCGATATTCAATCATAAATAGTACTGTATCAACAATAATAATTAACTTTAGAACAATTATTTTAAATTTATGATATATCAAAATTCAATAATATTTAAATTAAATTAAAACATACTACCAATGTAAATATTTTGTATTCTCATCCAATGTGTAAAAACATTTAGATTATTTTAAATTAATTTCATTAGAATACAATATTTATATCGTCATCCAATCATTAATTATCGTATAAGTAAAAATTATTAATTTTTATAATAATAGTATACCAATGATTTTTAATACGTTAATAATGTCAGATATTTTATAATGAGTCAAAATTAACTTATTTCAAAGCTGTTACACTCTGTTCAAATTAAACAGCATCACCCTACTCTTACAGTCCATTTATCGAAATTGGGAATACACTTGAAAATAAATCACCTTGAGCTAGGACATTTTTAAAAAACAATCTAGTATGTACCGTTATGCTTGATTACATGTCCCATTTACAACACGGTTTTTGGCCTAAACTAGAGGAGCCTATACAGATTGACATAATGCAGATCGTTACGCCAGTATATTTTCATGGACAGTTGAATCATACAAGAGTTGAAAAAGTAAACCCCTCATGACAGACATTATATAACTGAGCCTAAAATTTTCTGATGCTTAACCGAACCTTTTATAATTGCAGTGAAGATATGGCAGAAATAATATTTAGACAGAAGAAATCCGAATATAAAATTCTCCCCACCCATCTCCATGGAGAAAACCATTTGTGCAAATTTGAGTATCCTACTGGCACTAGACATAAATAAATTTTCCCCTCTGAGCCCCTAAATAAATTTCTCTAACTTCCTTGATGTAATAAGAGGATCCGGCGGCCGGAATGTCTCCAACTTCAAGTTGGAGTTTGCACAGATATCACTCAAAACAGTATCACCCTTCTCCATTTTTATTACCTCCAAGGTGCTTCCAAGAACATCAGCTGCAAGCCCAACTTCTAAGAGGCTTCCCGGCTCCTCTCCACCATCATGTATTAACCGTCCAATCTCATTTAAAGAGATCACATGCTCTGTAATAGCTTTGGCAAAAATGCGGCCGAGAAACTCTGGCGCTTTGGGGGCATCATTAACCGCATCTTCCAATGTACTGAGAACAGATTCAAACCTAGCCAAGACAAAAAGTAATGAGTAACAAAATCTTCTATCACAGCACATTCTTATAAGCAGTCATCATACTATCAAAATAAACCTCACCCTTTGATGAGCTGGACTTGACTCAAGGTGCCATCTTGAGATTTTACAAGGTTGACAAGCAATTGGGCCAAAAGATCTCTCTCTGTGTCCTTTCTCTCAAATGAGTCTGTGACCCAGACAGAAACCATGGAAGGATGAAAGCTTGGAGAGTTCAGATCTTTGATGCATAAAACAACTTCTTTCACATCTCTAGCACTGGATTGAATAACTTACAGTCAGATGAACATAACAAAAAGAAACTGAAAAATACATCAGCACCATAACAATACAATACCTAAAAGCTTGAACAGTGAATCTATATCACAACATTTTCAACTTTTACTAGAAATTGCAGGAAAATAAAAATTCAGTGTGACTGAAGCAGTAGCAAAAACAATATTCAATCCTCAAAAAATAGAAACAAATATACTACAACAACAATAATCAAGCCTTATCTTACTAGTTAAGGTAAACTTCATGGATCACAAGAAACCATTGATCTCGGTCAGGACCCAAATAAAAAGAGTATGGAGGAACTAAATTAAAAACCATGGTTTGGCCATACTTTCAACCATCTGGTTAAAAAAAAGTAATGCAGGGATGTTTAGATCTTCGCAAACCATTTTTTCAAAAATCAGTGTTGCAAAGAGAAATCAGGCCAAACAGTGAGAAATAATCAGAACGTTTTCCTAAAATGTAAATACAAGCCAGTGAAACACATACTCCAATTCTGCAACCATTAAAAAAGTAATCACATTGCAGTCATAAAATGTCAGGATCCATATACCTTAAAAGATCATGGTTGCCACCAACACATTATTTAATGTAAGATGAGGTTATGTTAAAACACAAATAAATTCCTAAATTTTGAAACATGAGGTGTTAAACATTTTCATGTTGTTGGGCAAAAGAGAGTGAGAAACTTCAAAAAACAATTCACCCACACACCTGTAGGATTAACGGAAGAAAATAAAAGACACTAAATATAGAGGAAAGGCAACTTAAGAAAGGAGGAGCTAAATCAACTAAGACAGGGTTGGATAATGAGAATAAGATGACAAAACAAGCAAGTTTTCCTCATCCATGCCAGGCCCTCTTTTTCTGGACTAAAAAACATTACTTGCAATCTTTATTTCATAATTCATATGTTAATTATAAACAAATCATGCATAAAATACAAACTCGTCCAATATTAATTTTTACATTTATATAGCAATTAAAAATGGCTGTATACATCACGTCCATACTAAATACATATTTCCTTCACATTTACTAACACTAGAACCCAACGTAGCCTGTATTTTAAACTTAAGCATATCATTTCATTGTTTACAAATAAAATTAATATCACAATTCTAACCCTTTTTAAGTATTTTATTATGTTTTGAAAGCCATACAGTCAATGAAAAACACGATACAAGATATGATATGTTATGAACTTAATCAGTCTTACAAGATAGAGAGTTTTTTAAGCAAGAAAAAACAAGATTTGCCAATAAGGAATTTGGATAAATTCTAAATATTTGAGGATTATAATTTTAAAAAATGATAAAGATTCCACTATATATTATTCATGCTTCTCAATGAAAAGGGCACAATTGACCCAACAACCTGAAAAAAGAGATAAAAAATAATGAAGACAAAGCAGTACCTATAGTATTCTCTGATTGCTGACATGGACATTTCATGCAGTCGCTCTTCTGTCAAAGCCTTCCCTGAAGAAGGATTCTGAGAGACTGCTGTCCCTTGAGCTCGGGCTGGTGGTGAAGTTACAACAGGTCTATCAAGAATCCTATCTGCATTTCTCATGTCCCTGTTTCCATAATTCATATTACGGTCTTGAACACTAGATTGATCATAAGTAGTTGAACCGGCAAATCTATCTGGAGTATATCTTGATGCATGATCCTCCCTAGAGCTGAATGGGGTACGCTCTGATAAATTACCATAACCATTAAGAGCAGTTGAACTTGGAACTGCAAGTGGACCTCTAATGGACATTCCTCTGGCAAGACCACCCTGGGGTCCCAAGGTTATTGACTCATCGCCTAAGGGTCTCTGTGGCAAGGGAACTGACAATGTCCTAGCCTCGTAACTTTGCCTATCATCCATGCGAACATCCTGTGAACCATACCCACGACCTTGAGTAGGCAACCCACGCAATCCACCCATCTGAGCATTAGGAGAAGACAACATAGATGACCCTCTTGGACCAAAATCCATAGGAATCCTTCTAGGTGGATTGTTACCCGAACCACGACCCAATCTACCAGCTTGGGCCAGCCTCTCTTGAGAAGCATCTCTGTGCACCTCCTCAATCTTCTTTGGACCTTCAACTTTTCTTCTTTGTTGCCATTTATTCTTTCTCAAATCAATGACATCCTTCAACATGAACCTCACCCTAGAAGATAAATTCATGTTGTTTGATAATAATCTCATCCTTTCAAAATATGCATCCATATGTTCCTTGGCTTTGGGATGGTCAATCATCTCCCCAATAGTACTCATCAGCTTGCACAAGGCTTCAATATCCTCTTCATCATGATCTTGAAACTGGCCCAGTAACTTCTTGATGCATTCATGCATTATCCTCTCTGTCAGCATTTTCTTCTTATATAGTTCTCCAATCAATCTGATATTACCCAACATACGTCTTCTTGCCTTGGTTCGTTTTTCTTCTCTTTCCTCATTAGACAGCTTGACCTCACCCTCATCAGCCTTATTAGCTTCTTCTTGCTCTCTTTCACCCCTCTCAAATTCTTCCTGGCACTTGTTTAGTAATAATCTTTTAAAAGTTATCTTTTCATTGTCTTCGCTGAGATCAGGCAATGCAGCTGCCAGATGGAAACAGAAATTGGCATACATTTCACAGAAAGTAGGCTCCATCAAGGCCTTCTCAAAGATTTGTGAGATGACACCATTGAGAGTGACTACATTGTCAATATTAACTGCTTTAACCTGCTCAAAAAGCTTCTCAAAATTCTGAGGAGTCAACTTGTTCAATATAGCTTTCAACTGCCTCTGCTTTGCCTCTTCCTCATCTGTCACTTTACCCACCTCATACTTCCTCTCAGCTCTGTGCATTGTCTGTAAAGGAGTTTGCGGGGAAGGAGATGGAATTAGACCCCTCTGCTGGATGTTAGCAGTACGCTGCCATCTTTCTCCATCAGGGCTATTTCTTTGCATTCCTCCCTGGTTTACCATGGATTGCATTGGTCCAGAAAGAATCCCTCCAGCATATTGCATAGGTGCCTGTGCGCGTGGATTCCTTAAAACACCAAAATTGCCACCTTGACCAGGTCGAAATCCTGCATTACCTCCAATACCATCCAAACGCATACCAGAATGAAATGCATTAGAAACTCTAGTCCATTTATCTTCCTCAATAACACCATTCCCACGACGATCCATACGAGACATCCCTCCTGACCTATCTATAATTCTTCCAGAAGAATGTGAATCACGTTCAATTACATGAGAACTAACATTAGAACCCATCAAAGCCTCAGCTATGTCTGCCGTGATTTCAAAACCTTCGGGAAGATCAGTGCATTGCTCTACAAATTTTAAAAGGAAATCTCGAGAGTACTTTTTTGCAGTTACTGCACTTCCATCACTAACCTCTTCAGTTTTATCTGTAACTTCTAGTTTTGGTGTAGACATGTCAGCTGCATCCTCCCAATCATCAATTTCAGCTTTACTCTGCTTACATTGCTCACCTGCTACAGTTTCTGGCTGAGAAGCATCAGTAGGCAACAGCTCTAAATTGCCAGAAGTAGAAGCACTTTCTGTTTTCTCTGAACTTACAACATTTTCTTTCTTTTCCTCAGGTCCCTTATATGCGTTATACAGATCAGATGTTGACCCAGCAGCATCTGCCTTCTGAAGAATCTCTTTTCGTTTCTTTTTCCCCTTTGTAGTTTTCGCCTTACTAGGCTCTGAAATCAGTCTATCCTTGGTACCTGATGCTGGAAGAGACACTGAACCACTGCTAGCACTCTCTGAACTATCCTTGCAGAGTTTTAAATTGGTTTCTGGAAGATCAGCAGACAGCTGATCTGATGTGCCAGAATTTGTAGAAACAGCTTCATTACTAACTACACTATCATTTCTATTTAGAGAGACATCTTTAGAATCCAATGAAGTAGAGGTAGACATGTCTAAATTATCAGCCATCCTGTCACATTCTGCACTACAAATTGTAGATTCATCCTGCCCTAGCTGCTCAGTCCTCGAGGTTACAACCTCAGTGCTTAATTTCTCATCACCTTGCTCAGGTTGTTTTAATTCTGCCCCACCACTGATATCCTGTTTACATCCTTGAAGAGATGAAATTTCTGTATTACCACCCATTTCCAAAATGGTCTGATTTGGCAGTTTATCCTGTTGTGACAATTCATTTTGCTTGTCATTCTTATGATTGATCAAATTATCCACCACTTGAGTAACAGGTCCTTCAGCTGAAGCACCAGAAACTTGTGTAGAACCATTAGTTTTCATTTCAACAGCATAAGGTATGCTCTCACTGGTAGTTGAAAATTTGTCTGAAGCTACTGCTGAGTGATCTTCACTGATAATTGAGGCAGAATGGTTTGCTGTAGTTCCTACAGTTTCAGAAACTTCATCAGCATTACCACCATCAACAACCTGGGAAGCCACATTAGCCACAGCAGGAGATTGTACAGAAACCTGATAAAAACACAAAGGGGAATGTTCACAGTACTTGAAGCAAACCAAGATCAAATTAGGAAAAAGATATTTAAACAACTACTCACTTACATACCTGAGGCTGTAATTGGCCTTTCTTCTGTACATTCTTCTGATTATCCTTCAAAGAATTTGACCTACTAAGAGATTCCTGCTTCCTGCTTTCATTATTAGGCACACCTGAAACAGAGTCTTCACTCAACAAAGAAGCTGATGTAGACTTCACAGCAGATGCAGCAGATAGATTTGGCAATGAGCTCAAAACTGAAGAATCACTGGACAACTTCAGCTGTTGTGAAGAGATTTCAGATGTTTCAGACCCTTTTGGTGGTACAGAAGAGATAGCATCACCAGATGTTAATAAAGAACTAGGAGGTCCACTCTTTTGAGTACCAGATACACTGGAATTGGCAAATGATGAGTCCACAACACCAGATCCACCACTTGGCTTAATAGACACAGAAGTTACTCCTGACGAAGCTGATGAGATTGCATTATGCACATCACGGGAAAATTCAGGATTAGGTGGTTCAGCATTGCCAGGAATAGAAGTGCCAGCTCTATTAACAGGCAGGGAACTGTGAGGTGAAGAATTCACAAAACCAACATTTTGGGGACCATGGCTCACTGCATAATTAAATCTTGGTGGCTGAGAGTTAGGAGTTATCTGGCTAGTTGTTAATGGAAGAGAACTAGGAGGCACATAAAAGAGAGAATTGGTACTGTAGGAACTTGATGGATAGTAATTAATAGGATGAGAAGTTGCAAATGGCTGGGCAGGCTGAGATTGAGAAGGCATGCCAGAATGAGACCTTGCGCCAGATGCTCCACCATCTGTATATGCATCTACCCTTTTATCAAGTCTAAGCTCTTCATGTGTCTCAGGATGAGTTATCTTGACAGGAGTAGTTTTGCGAGGACCACCAAATTTTCCTCCTTGCTGTGCGGGATATTGTGGGCCGATGCCAATACCCATGCCGCCTAACTGATGAGGCAATTGTGGGCCCATTTGAGGAGTGAAACCTATGTTTTGGCCTTGATGCATGATTCCCTGAGGATGGATAGGATGAGGTTGAAGGCTTGGAACAAAAACCTGCTGTTGCACTTGTCCAGCACTTCCAATTGGTAAAGGCATTGGTAACGGCATCTGAAGAGATGCCGTTGACATACCCTGAGATTGAATCTGTGGATTAGGACCACCAAAGTGTACAGATGCCTGTGACTGGTGATAAGGCATTGGCATTGAAATTCCAGTTAAAGGAATGACAGAAGGCTTCTGCATCTGGCTTGCTGGGGGTAAAGGTGACACATGAGTATCTTTTTTTGCCCTAGTACCCATATAAGTCTCCCCAGTATTAGATTGGACAGCAACACTTGTATCCTTCTTTGCTGGCTGATGCTTTGGAACAGGAGGCATTGGCACTGAAGGTGCAGGTCTAAAAGAATCATGACGAGCCTGAAAACTATGAAATTAGCCACCAAACAAACAGTTGTACTGGTATGCAAACAAGTTAAGAAGACAACAAAAATAGGGTGAGTAAAAAAGCATAAATCCATCCCTTTGTTAGATTCTATTTTTGAAAAAGGAATTAACAATGAACATTCTAAGACAATAAAGGAGTCAGAACTAGTTGCCACCAATTATGCCCTCTTTCCTTCTAAAGGATTAAGCAGCAACAGTTGTGTGTGTGTACATACATATATATAGGGATTTGCTAACATGAATCTAAAACTTTAGGAGGAGAATGTTAGCAACATGCGCCAAATATTTAGACAAAAAACTCCTCATACATTACTTATAAAAATTAGAAATAGGGTTATTTTAGTTATTTTAAAATTAAAATTATCTATTTCCCAATATCCCAAAATTTCTCTCTTGTGATGGTTGCTTTCTATGTTTCTACCTCTACCACTTTTTAAAAATCAATAATTTGTTATTTTGCTTAGTACTGGAAGTGATAAATTTTCCCCTCTCAATCACTGATTTGATGGAATGTCATGCATATTATAATAAATATCTTTGAATAACTCCAGTTATGGGTGTGGGAAACTTTTACTGATTAAATGACGAAATACTTGAAAAACAAGTAAACAATGAGGAAAACTGTTATTGATGGAAAGGTGGTGGCCAGAGGGTAATTGCCATGACTTTCTTGTTCATGAGAGACAATTGAGACTTGAGAGTAAACTTCAGAGAAAGAAGAGACAATTTTTTTAATTTAAAATAAAATTTACTAAAATAATCTCACTAACCAATTTGTTTAGTAAAGAATAAGGATTTTTTTCTAAATATTTTGGTTTATGTTGCCAATATGCTCCTTCAGAAATTAAGGTTTAATCATGTTACAAATCTCCTCTGTGTGTATGTATATTGTTAAACATGTACGAGGGAGGTGTAAGGAAAAAAGAATAAAGTAAATACTTGATCACGCTTCTGCTCATCTATATTGGGAGGAGCTGAACTTGTGCGAGCAGGAATCTGCATGCAATAACAGAAAATTATTAACTCCCCCTAAAATTACAAAAGTCAAAAACAACTTCAGGTGGACGGTAAGCAATTAGCAGATAAGAAACTTACTGCCATCCCATTCATAAAGCCTGGACTAATGGATCCAAATTGGAAAGGGAATGCCTTGGAAGCATCTTCTGGGGCAGACAACATTCAGATCACTCTCAGAAGTCAGATGCAATGGATAAGAATGTTATTTTACCACATATCACTTTACTATGACCCCAAACTACAATTCAGAAATCATAAAACCCATTCTGCATTTTATATACAACATAAAAAGCCTGAAGTGTGACATACCCTTGACAGGGGTTGCAGGAGCTGCTGGATCAGAACTCACGGTGGGAGGTTGAGAAGTAGGAGCTTTTGGAACAACTCTGGTGCCCCTCTGTGCAGTGGACGATTCAGATGGCTTGCCAGTTGTATTTGTAACTGCCACATCAGATCCGCCTATCATAAAACATGTGAATGATGCCCATAAAAGAAATCACATTTTATCAAACACTAAATATCATATATAAATTCCACAGGTTCTTCCATCATAAAATGGAATGCAAATAATTCCACTCAACAACATAATAATATGCTCAAAATGCAATTAAGTGTAGAACCAATTCTGGAAAACATACATAACTTCATTAAGCTTACCATGAATTTGCTGCTGCAAATGGGTACCATTTGGCACAGTCCGGGCTGCATAAGTACTATTAGACTCGGCTGTATTCACCGGTGTAGGGTTTAACCTAGATTGCCCACCTTGTGCATTATTATTAGACTTCTTGTTAAAACTAACACAAGCAACGATCAGAATCAATAAAATGAAAAAAGAAAACGAAAGAAAATAAAGAAAGAAAGTACATCACTTATTATAGTTTAAACACACAAAAATCATACAACCCTAGGTCACCAAGAACAAACCAGTCGCAATATCTACACCACCCCACTCTGAAAACAACACAATTCAATTCAATATTATATACAAAGAGGAATAAATAAAAATCATAACCCCGTATACCCACTATCCTTGAAAACAAACATAAGTTTTAAAAAAAAATGAAAAATAATAACAAAAAGGGAACGAAAAGATAAATTTGCAAAACCTAACTAACTCACCTCCGGCTAGAGGAGAGTGACGGAGAAGGAGCGGCGCCGGCGCCGCCCTTGCCGTACGCACCGCCGGAGGAACCTCGCTGCTGGTTGAAGCTGGCGGATCGCCCGGATTTTCGGTACACAGCGTCGTTCTTATCGGACTTTGATTGATTGAAGGACATATATCCCAACCCTTAAATCCTCAGAATCAAAGCTTTTAAGAAAGGAAAAAGAAAAAGAAAAAACAGGAGTTTTCTCCTCAATTTTCCCTGCAGCCAAACAAGCAGATCCGCGTCATCATTGGACCCAACCCCATACGAGCCTGAAACCCGTTAACCAACAGCAATCCATACGCACAATTCCAACACAGAATAAGCGAGTTTGGTAAGAGAGTGAAGTACCTGAAGAGTGTGCAGTGGGTGGAAAATTAGGGTTTTCTATTGATGTTTGGTGGTGGTTGCTTGGCAGTGGTGTGTGTATCTGAGACGAAAGAAGCGATGGATAGAAGGGGAAAAAGAGAGAATGGGGTGATTTGGGGAGAGAGAGAGTTTTTAGTGAGAGAAAGCGTGGTAACAAAAAAGAAAAAAACTTCTCAAGAGTGACGCTTTAGAGAGTGGTCAAAAGAAAGGGTAGGTTTTTTAGGAGATCACTTCTTCTACACAGATAGATAACCTCTCCCTTCTTGCCGTTTAATTCCTTACTTCACTCTCCTTTTTCTTACTTTTAACTTCAAAATAAATAAATCTTCACTTTTTATGAAAAAATATCTACTAATTTTATTTTCTCACTTCATATCGTATCGTTAATTCTTTATTGAAATACACTTTTTACTTATGCATTAAGAGTATCTTACATTTTAAATAAGAATATGTAAATTTATTAACTATCTACGATTGTTTATATATGTTATTCTATTTTGTAATACAGAATCTTTTCTATTTTAGTCCTTTTTAATATAATAAAAATATTTATTTTTAATTTTATTTAAATATTAATAATAAATATCTTGTGTTAAATAAGATTAAAATTTTGACAAGTTAAGTTCAAATTATTACTCATCTTCTTGGAGTGAAATAAACGTGTTCTTTATAAATCTTTTTAAAATTTAGGAGCCTTTTCTGCCTTTAACATTATCTCCTTTCCCTAAATTATTATACCAAAAAGATAAAACTAAATTAAAAAGACAGAATTTTAAAAAATATGTTAATTTACTAATTCTTCGTTTATTTCGTCTTTATGCGGTTCTTAACCTTTTGTATTCTTAAAATTTTAATTTTGTTATCATTGGATATTTTATTTTTCCATAATTAAATTAATATCAAGTAAATTTACCGGTACTAACTAATAAAAAATTATTAATAATAATACAATATAAATTATTAATAATATTAGACATCTTCACCAAGAGTGTCACTTATTTTTTATAAATTTATTATTTTAATAATTTATTTATTTATTTATCATCCTTCTAAATTCTTTATCTATACATTTTTCACATTTTATATTTTAATTTTTTTATTAAATACTTGATATTACTTTTAATCGTCAAATTAATGTAAAGCAACTTTACTTAATAAATAATTTAATATTCATTTTTAAGTAAATTTTAATATTTTATTAAATACATACTTAATATAATAAAATAAGTATTCAATATTATTTCTTAATCCCTTTTTCTTATCAAGTATTTTTTGCTAAGTCTTAATTTAGTATTCTAAATTAATTTTGTTTCTTAAAATATTAGTTTATTCAACACGAAAAGCTAACAAAACGTTACATTTTTTATTATATTTCTTTCTTTTGATAAATAATTTTACTGTTATTTATATTTTTATCTATTATCTATTTATGTTTATTTAATTCATGTAAATTTAAAAATATTTATATAATACAATAACAAGGCCCAAGTTAAAATAAGTAAGCAATTAAGTAGTATACAAGTGAGTTAATATGTTTAAACTGATAGATATATTTTTAAAAAAAACTAAGTCAAATTTTTTACCTATATTTAATAATACTATTTTTCATATATTTATGATTTACTCTTCCAAAATAAAAATTACAAAATTGCTCTTTAAACATACAAAACTTGTTATTTTAGGTTTATATAGGATTGTATTGATACCTAGTTTTGATATTTTTCATGAAAATCTTATATGTACCTAATATTTAGATGGTGATTTTAAAAATTAAAACTTTCACATGCATTGATGCAGTTTTAATTTATAATAAATTTTTTTTTTGAATTAATAGAAAAATAAATGTCATTTTAGATTTTTAGAGTTCTCTACAAACTCCTATGTGTACCGTTCATGATTTTTAAAATTAAAACTTTCATGTAACACCCTCTTTTTTATTTAATTAATAAATTGATGATTGTTTGGTATTATATAGTGTTAGAGTGTATTAGAATGATTTAAGGGTGTTTTGGTAGAAATCTAGTGCACGAAATCTTACTTAGGCGAGACAAATCTCGCTCAAGCGAGACTGAATGCCCAAAACCACATGTTTTCAGGGCAATCTTGTTCAGATGATATGATTCTCGTTCAAGCGCAATAGGATAAATCCAGCCCAACTGTCACCTATCAGGCCTGTAATTTATTATTGAGTGATTTATAATATTTTATACTTGTTAAATGTTAAATTGAAGGATTATTTAGTATTGGAATAGATTTAGATGGAGTTTAAAATTATTTTTAAAAAAAGAAAAAAGAGGTGAACAGTAATGTCGCGCGTGAACAATAAAGTCAAAGTAAATAGTACTATTATTTTTTTTTTGAATTTTGCCTATAAATAGAGGGGTTTTGCATGAAATTTTCATCCTTTTACACTTCTCAAAGGTTCTAAAGAGACCCAAGGCCATATACCACCATTTTCTCTCATACTAAACCCTCTTAAACTTAGATTTCTCACCAGATCTGAAATTTTATATCTGTTCTGAAGGATCTGAAGTAAGTTTCTATAAGTTTGAAGTTAGATTTACTGTTTGTTTCTCTTCTTCTTTTCTTTCTTATAGATAGTAGATGATATCTTAAGAGAAACTTCGTTGTAGAGCTAAATCTTCAATGGATCTTGCCTTTAAACAAGTAATATTTGATAGATTTGTTGTGAATCACTATTGTAAGATAAGGAGAGTTTAAGATAATTTTGTCAAATCTCTTGGATCAAAGCTATTTTCTATGTTGTAATTACTGCTAATTGATTTAAAATGGTGAGAGTTAGCTGAAATATTATGAATTGTTTTAGCTGAGTTATTTAGAATATGATTTTGTTTGTACTGCATCATACTGAGATATATGTCATGCTTTATTATAGAGTCAAGTTATACGTTTAGGTGGATAGACGTGTAATGATAGAGCATGCTGAGCTACGTTGTGTTGTGCTGTCTGAATCCAGATACCGGAATGGGTCATTCCTGGACTGCCTCAGTTCATTTTGGATTACTTAAGCTGTAAAACTAGTTAGAACTATTTTCATGTTGTGCATTAGATGGACTGAGAATGCATAGGGTTGTTGCTGTAAGTATCATTTTGCTCTATATATGATTTTTCTTTTGTAAGCTCACCCTTGCATTTATATCTATGTTGTTGTGTGCTTGTGTACTACGATAATCGTACGGTAGTATATGAGCAGATGTAGTTGGTGTTGCATCTACTTCATAAGCTGAGGGCCAGTGAAGAAGTGTTAGAAGGCTAAAGTCGAGTAATTTTGCATTAAAGTCCTTTTGCTTCTATTTTGAGACCTTGTATAGAGGGAGTTATGTAATATAATTTGTGTATTTTGAGTATTTACGAACTAAATGTAATATTATGTTGTTCTGTTAGACATTGTTGTAAAGAACTTTATTTATTTTGAATGAAAAATGAATTTTCTACTTATATGCTTCGTTATTTATCTATCTTAAATAAGTAAGTGGTGTAGAAATAATGTTCTCGATTTCTTATAAAAAGGGGTCGTGACATCACCTCACTCAAGTGAAAGGTAATGTCGCTCAGGTGAGCAGTAATCTCATCTAGGCGAGCTAAGTCACTCAAGCAAGGACTCACGGGAAAAATATCTAAATCTTTGGATGTTATCTCACTCAAGCGAGTGTATCAGGAAATGCTTGGCAAGGCTACTATCTAGTGTTCTCGCTCAGGCGAGAATTGTGTCACTCAAGCGAGTTGTTCCTCACTCAAGTGAGAGCGTGTGGAGGGGTATTTAATAGATTTCCAACATGAAAATTTCATTACATTCCAAACCTCACGTTCTCTTCTTGTTTTCTCTGAACTCTCACTACTTTCTCTCAGATAAAACTCCTTCAAACTCTGATCACTTATCAAATCCGAGCTTGGATGTTAAATCTAAACGACTCTAAGAGAACTTTCATGGTTGAACTTAAATATTTGTCAATATCTCTTCGCATACTCCAATCGAGGTAAGGAGAGCTCTATTTTTTCGTTTTATTAAAGCTTTTATTTTGTACTCATTAGAGCAATATGATATAAGGATTTTGTGAAAATATGTGTCTAAAGTATAATATTTTTAAATAATAGCTAAGAATATACACGCTTGGTTGTTTCGCTTGAATGGCTGTAATATGTTTACATGAAATATATGATGAGTGCTTAATGTGGAGTGTTATGAAATACAATGAATGATTATGGTGTAATTATATGAAAAATGTATATGAGTATTTTGTGGCTATTATAAAGCATGATGTTGGTCTGAATGATTTAAGAGTGAAACTAAGCTCTGAAGGGATGAGTGATGTGAACTTAATCCAAAAGTGCTTTACTAAGCACGACCTTATGAGTGGATAATGAGGGGATTCTCGAAATAAGTATAAGTGTTGGATATGGGATCAATCTAATGTTAATAGTTACAGAGATACACTAGAAGTATAGAGTTCAGAAATGATGGAAAATCTGGGGAAAATGTAGAGTAGTGACAATATTCGCATATGTACACACTCTTTCTGAGAGTGAATGCATCACATGATCTCACACTAATTTCCTGACTAAACTCCTGATTATACTTTTGTTAAGGGGTCTGTTATTGTATATGTTATATCCGTGTACATGGGCTAATTGGCGACTATTTATCTAGTTGAGTAAGACCTCAAGAAATGCTTAAGCCATTGTTGTCTGTGATCACAGTACACTAGAAGTGCGTATTGGAAGCAGAAGACTGAATAACATATAACAAATTGTTGAGTTGTGTATATGTGATTATGTTGGTAATTTGAATTGGTTGTAGAAATGAATATGTTCTCTTTATATTATAATTATGATTTTTATGATGTAATGATTTATGAATAATAGAATAAACGCTCATCCTTATTGACATTTTCAGAGAAACAGGATGATGACCCCTCAAAAAAGGATTAGACTAGTAGGTAGCTACATACAATGTGGGCTTAATTATGTATTTAATGAATATTAGAGAACATGTTATTTTAAGTTACCCATACATATTGATGATATATCTAGGACTATTATTA